AACATGCCATAAAGCATGTATGTACACACACTTGTATTTTACCAGCATGTGAAGCTAAAGATGCACAGAGAACGTACCAAAAGGGAATATAAACAGACATCATTCATCTCGAGTTTACACGGTGAAATTATAGGGTTTTTGCTTGTTTGTTTTTACATCCTTTTCTCCTGGTATTTAATGATAAGGAGTTTTATGTTTTGATCTTTAAAAGAGCTGTATTTTACAAATAAATTAATACTCACAGCAACTAAATAAAAGCTTAAAGCTTTCAGAACACAATGTACTCATAAAATCTTTTTTACACAGTTCATTAATTTTTCGAAACAAGAAACAGTACAACACCACACATCCTCCAAACATCCCCCCTCAAGACTGAAAGCATGTCAGGGGTAGGAGTGGGGGTGTGGCAGGCGGGTGGAAAAGCCAAGGGAGAGAGAAGGGCCTTACATAATTGTCTCGTGCTGACCAGCCAGGATACAGCTGCATATGTAGCTGTCTTTCTTTCCGTGCTAATTCATAATATTTGGCCTGTTCTTCCCGGGAGAGGGCGTGCCACTAAAACGGAAAAGGAAAGGGGAAGAGAGAGAAAAGGTAAGTAAGGTAACAAGAGTCCAGCTCGTGTTTCAAACTCTGACCGAGGGATTTAAGGGAAGTGTTTAAACTCCCCACTATCTAAATGGGAACAGCCCTGGTACGGCAGAAACCCACTCCGAGTCTGGGGGTTGGGAGTGAAACCCGTAGTTTTGGTTTCTCTGCCCTGTGGTCCTCTATCACATGCCACACATCAAAGCATTCGGAGTATAAAGATCTGTCACCCTTTCTTTTTGCCAATATAAATTAAAAAGAACTCTCCGAGTGAACCCCGATACCCAGCTTTCCTTTCATCGTCTGGAGCTTACACTGGTAACTGAGCCCAAGCACCACTTATTTATGCAAAATGTGATAATTTCCAGATGCCTTTTATGACAAACACAACCCCCCTTCCCACCCAGACTCTCTTCCAGCTCTGTCATATGGAGTCTGGAACCTGAATCATGTGATCCTTACAGGCATGACATCAGAAGTCAGCCCATCTCCTCACACTCACACACGTGCCCACGTCTATAGAATGCAACACCGTTCACGCCACACACTCTGACTATGGTTAGCTTCTGTCCAGTGGGAAGCTAGAAGTGACATCTAAATGTGTTTGTCATCTAGGAGGCTGGGGTTTCAGATACAGAACATAGAGCTGCTGCTGAACTTTGAGCTCCTCTTCCCTCTCATTTTTTTGTTTTGTTTTGTTTTAACGTAACTACCAAGTAACAAAACTGTTATTCTGGAGCAAGGTATCCATCTGGGATTTTGAGTTGTTTTGCTCCTATACTTTTTTGCAAATTATTTGTAAACCACTTGGGCCTGGGGCTGCAGCAGATGGCTCTCTAGCGTTTTCCCCACCTCTCCAGGGCCAGGATGTGCCGGGAGAACCATCCCTGGAGCAGTGGACACCCACTAACTGTGAGGTGACTACACAGGGCAGGTGTGATGTCCCTGCGGAAGGAAGAACCCGCCCTGAGACTGTCTCTTAGGTGTCTGGGAGCCTCTGCCTCCTCCCGTTCTGTGCCAGGCCGTCCAGCACATTGATTCTAATTCCATTTCCTTGTTAGTTTGGTTCGACTTTTTTTTTTTCAATGACTTTAAAAAAGAAAAAAAACAAAAAGAGGGAGGTGTAGGTGGTTGGGGAGAGGGGAGAAGGAGAAAGCAGAGGCACATGCTGATGAGAGAACAAGCCCTCATCAATGTGGCCTTGGACTTGAAGATCTGGCTCAGCATCTTTCCTACAGAAAACAGGAACGCCTGCTGCTCTAATGTGACAGGAGAACAAGGGAGCCATCTCACAGGGCTCCTGGCACCTTTCTGCCATGCCAGCGGCACCCACAGGCCACTCAGCTACTCCCATACCTTCAGAAATCCCCTTTGAAGCTAGCCCTTGGTGCTGGATTAGACAGATTTTTGTTTTGTTTTGTTTTGTTTTGTTTTACTTAGAAGCGCAGAATGTGAAGGTAAAAAAGCAAGGCACTCAAGTGACTTGATGTAAGCATGAAGGCAAACCAGGTGATACACTTTAAAATGGTTTTATTATATTGATGTGTGTATGTGTGTAAGCGCACACAGAACAGCACACTTGTGGCAGTTTAAAGATGATTTATGTGAACTGATTCTCTTCTTCCAATGTGTGGTTCCCAGGGCTCAAACGCAGTTCATCAGGCTTGGTGGCAAACACTTATACCTTCTAAGCCATCTTGCTAGCCCATAGAAATACACTTTTGTTACAAATTAATAATAATAACAAGTTGGGAAAGGTGGCAACAAGTGGACACTACATACATACATGCCTACACATATATGTATCCATATTTATATATGCATGTTTATAATATTTATATCTATATATGTATATAAACAAATTACTGATCACTGATTGATACTTACTAACTCTCATGCTAAATACATGTGACTATCAAGATTCAAAATGTCACTATTCTGGGTGAGAGGGAAAAGTTAAAAGACAAAGACAAGAATTACGTCATGTTAAAATCTGTTCCTCTACTCATCTGAGAAGTCCTGTGCCTTGTATCCTCTTTTATAACAGGAGATGTTATAACTGTATCCCCTTTTACGACAGGAGATGTTATAAGCTATAACTGCATATACCTTATGGAGTAACCTGAGAAAAATCTACAATGGTAAATAAAAATTGACTCCCAAGAATGCAAATGAAATCGGATCTTCAACCTAAACTGCCAAGCATTTACTGTGCAGGACAAAACAAGAAGGAAAGAAGATATGAGCTATTTGTGCTTACAAGAGAGTTCCCTAAGAATTCCTAATGCATAAAACATCCACACAGGCTCACGAATCAGAGGTCATTTAGCAGACTAACATAGTAGGTTCCACAATGGGACTGGAGTTTTGCACTGGGCAAAAAAAAAAAGAAAAAAAAATTAAAAATAGAAAGATGGCCTTCATTTCAGGGGCTTTTGAAACATAGAAAGAAAACTAAGACAAAAAAAATTCTTACTCTTTGATTACTTAAAAATATACTTTAAAAAAAATCTAATTTTATTATTAAAAATTGTGGGGGGAACCTTTACTTACTTTTATGAAACTGGTAAGACAGTCTAACAATTATGCAAATCTGTAGCAAGAGGACTTCTAGCAATAGTCCGGCAGGTCAGTTCATTTTAAAATAACATTTATGCCATTGCTATTTATGATACATATTAAGAAAACTTTGATTCATTCATATGAATGGGTATTTCCATTTTAGAGACAGTAAAGATGATTTTTAAAAAAATCAAGAGATGATATGTTCCAGGATGGATTTAAGATCCACTTTTAAGCAGCCTAATCACGCTAGTGTAAAACTTCATGATTTTTAAAGCCAGAACTTTAAAGAGCCGGGAAGCTCGGCTCTGCCAGAGGGGAGTGCTCAAAGGACAGAAAACCTGATCTTAATCAGAGACCCAGAGGCCTATAAATAGAAACAGGTGTCTAAATCAAAGACAGAGAGAGACCCCAAATGAGAACCATCCTTCAAGGCATGCATGCTTGGATCTGGGGACCTTTCAGGGAGCTGAGAAAGTAGCAATTGTTGGAAACGTGCATTAAAAATAGGAAGCATACCTCAAAGATCATATCCTCACCCTCTTGAGCAGGAAAATAATTCCTGCTGCAAGGCCAGAAGGCATGACTCAAAGACAAAAAAAAGGAAGAAAAAAAAAAAAAAAGAAGGCTAAAGGAGGTACTCGCCGAAATAAAAAAACGTCAACCCCCTTTGCTTCTGCTCTCTTTATTTAGAAAGTCAGGGAAAGTGGTTAGCAGCCTTTTTGGCTTTTAAGGTGGAGCCCTTCAAAGCTGATAGACTCGCCCCTCTGCCGAGATCTGGCTTGGGAATCACCGTAATTATCGTTATTAAGTGTTTAAGAATCCATAGGGAGATAGGATGTCCTATGCGGCACACCAAAGGCTATAATCTGCCGCTGCACCCTGCCCTCGAGAGCTTGGTGTCTCACAGGTCAGAGCTGGCAACGGCTCTCGGGTGGGAATCCCTAACTCAGGGCCTGCTTCGGTAAGCCAGCATTGGCAGCCAGCTTCCTGAGCGTCTTAATGAGTGTTCCGGTGTATTGAGTTGGGGACACAGGAAAGGTGTGTCAGCAATGGCGGCTAACACGTAATTCTCTCCATGCTTCCCCAAGGGTGGGTAGAGCCTCCTCGAGCTGTCTGAACCGAAGAGGGAAAATAAAGCCAAACACATACAGGGCTTATCAACTAAGAAGCTGCTGCCCACACGTCTTGAGCACTGGCGCGTCAAGATGAGGCATTCCTAACAAAGTAAAATTCGGTATCAGTAAAAACGTCACTTTTGAACTAGATGAATTTGAGTTTGCCCTACAGTTCTACAGATATCAAGCTAAGACCGGTTCAACCCCGTGGGAAAGCACTTGGAGGGAACTGCTAGTCTTCTGGGGAGCTGTTGGAGAAGGAATTTCAAGAGTTCCCATAACCTGGTTCTAGTCCAACACCTCCATATAAGACATGAAGACATGACTTCTTAGCATCTCAGCAGGACAGCTCTGCTTCTGCTTGGGGAGGCGTGGCTTCCTCTCTCTAAGCTAGTCTAGCAGAAGCCCTGCTGCAGCTCCTTCTGTGAGTTTAGAGAGTCCTCCCCAATCCTTACTCCTCTCCCCACACTACTCCAGGCTCCAATCCACCACTAACTGCTACCCATCTCTCAGGTCTTACCGTAAGTGCAAAAATGCAATGTTTTCAGAGGGGCCCTGGCTGCTCATTCTTACTTAGCCTTGCTAATTACATCCACAATATTCACCACAAATTTTAACTTTACTGAATAACCTTATTTCACTAATGTCTACATCTGGTAACAAAACAGCAAACCCCAGGAAGACAAGGGCCATGGCTGTTTAATTCAGCAACTGTTACCAAGCATTCTTACAGGCAAATAAATGATAGGTGAAAAACAATGTTTTAAAGAATGGTGGTAAAAACAGCCACACACACACACACACACACACACCCCTGATGTGTAACTAAATCTCAGAACATTTTGAAGAAGCTGTGGAAGCCATAGACATGGTCTGTATCTATCCCCGGTTACTTACCCTCCTGCCCAGGATCTGGTTGATAGCTGCGCTCTCTTTTAGCGTACACTCTGCTACGACATTCGCTCTCATTTCTTTCATGTATAACATGAAAGCATTCAGAGGCTTCTTAATGTGAGGTCTTTTTGGCTCCTGCTCCTTTCTCTGTTCATGCTGAGGCTTCCTAAAAGGTGGCGGTGGTTAGGGAAAGGGGACAGGGGGTGCCGGGAAGAGAGAGAACAGCTGTTCAGTTGCCAAATTCAATGCAAGAGGATGACCCTCCCAGCTTTCTTCAACACCCCTCCCCCCCCATTCCAACAAGCTGGATGAACAGGGTGTGGCTCATCTGATGAAAACCCAGGTTTTAAACAACTAAAACCACAGGATCTCTTCCTTTACACAGTGACACTGTGAATATGGTTCTTCCTTCGCTCTGAGAAAGCCTCATCTGGGGACCCAAAGCTGAGGTCCTTGGTTACCTCCAAGGTGGCTAGACAAACACTATGGGCGATCTTTTAGTGCAATGAATGTTCACTTTGGGGGATGGGGATTAAAGGACATGCTGAAAAGCAAGCTCTTTCTCTCTCTCCCCCTCCCTCTATGTGTGTGTGCGTCAGCGGTCAACCTTGGGTACTGATGATCAGTTGCCATCAATCTTGGTTGTTGAGAGCGCTTAGAAAGTGTCTTTCATTGGCCTGTCACCAGGCTGGCCAGCCGGCAGATCCCAGGCTCCCTCTTGTCTCTGCCTCCCTACAAGCATGTGCCAGCACACCTGGGACCAAACTGAAGTCCTCATCCATACAACACAAAGCTCTTTACAGATGACCATGTTCCATTAGCCCTAGTGAGGTTTCGACCCTTCTCTGCCAAAAAAAATATGTATCTCCTTTGAACGTATTTTCAGGAGATTCCTGGGTTGTCAACACTGCTTGCCCTATCCATCTCACCCACAAATTCTAAATAAGAGGAGCTGTTTCTTATTCTTCCAAGACAAGGTAATAGAGCCTGGCTCTGGAAGTTTGAATCAATGCTAGTCCAATAGGGAATTCAGTGCCAACCGCCACTGTGCATTTGCAGAGTAACGTGCCCTGAGCCCACCAACCCGTTTTACTTCACTTAAAGGAAAGTCTGGTGTAGCAAAGGGTCTGCAAATCAACACCCCTTGCAAACACATGCAGAGCACCGCTCCATCCTGCTGAGTGCCACGGCCTGTTAATCTCACGGTCCTTTCCGGTCTCAGAATCAAGTCCCTGTTCTCATGGAATTTCACAACAGAAGAGGAGGGTCAGAACACGAGGTGTGTGTGTGTGTAGGGGGGTGCTCTACTTACACGTGCATTAGGTCACTGTCAGTGTGGGGGTGCTCCTGCTTGACCTGAGGCGTTACAATAGCTGGATGAGGAATGCCAGTTGTGTGGGGGCCAGGAGGACCAGGAATCATATGGTGGGAAAACCTATACAGAGAGAGGGAGACAATATGCACTTCTGGCTGTTATGGTCAAACTGAGGCAGAACGAGAACACAACTCACTGAGTGCAACTGGCTCTGCATGAAGACTCCTATCTGTCTGCACCTGAGTATTAACTACAGTCTGGAGCAACAATTGCCTTTTTTTTTCCCCTTTCTTTCTGTATTCAGCTGGAAAATATAATTATTCCCATGGTTTTTCAAACTGGCACTCTTCCTCAGGAGGGCAGCAGGTACAAGATAAGGCAACAATGAGTCAGTTTCCTTGCAACGCAACTTCCAACAAAAATTTCAATAAGAGAAATTACTGGAGACATGATGGTTTATTACGATTCAACCAGAGACATTCTATTTCAAAAGTGCACACGAAGAGTATTCTCCTATGATTGGCTGTTGAGTCAACGCCAGAAGGGGACAATTGAAAGAAGAGACAGGAAGAGCCCTCTTGACGCCTCCTTTGAAAGGTTTTCCTTCTCATCACCTGAAATGATCTTCTACACAGCAGTGAAGTGTGGGAGATGGGGCCTGGGAAAGAGCTGATTCTGGAACTGAGGGCAGGGTTAAATTAAAGGGAGGGGGGTGTGTACCCAGGCAGCACCTCCACCTGCTAATGCCTTTTTTCCTGGGCGTGAATATGCAGCATTCAAAAAAGTCAGCCTATCTACCACCAGCCATTGCAAAGGAAGAAATCTGCCCTGATAGAAAAAAAAAAAATAATGACGTATCTCAGCAAACACTGGGTAAATTTGGATATGCCTTAGAGATTGTCTTTTTCCAATCTGCTTTAGAGTAAAAGCTTAATTTCACAAGAAAAATATTCTTTGGTCTTTCCCAGAGCCCTTCATTAGGAAGGAAGAAAAAGGACCTCTGCTAGGGCACCTAGGGTTTCAGAAACAAATTTCTTAGTTATTAAGGAGACAAGAATACAAATGTTCAACCAAATAGTAATGCCCCGCTAAATGGAAAGATTCAAGGTGCTTGACACTGGCTATGTGCCCGTACGGTAATCTTTGTCCTCAGTCCTCAGCATTAAAAACTATAAAAATGAAGATTATTAACCACTCTAGCCATCTAGGTTTATGCTTCACTGAACAAAGAATACATATATTTTGAAGTTGAAATCTACCACACAAACCGGGAACATCAAATCCACATTAAAAAGACAAAAAAGAAAAGAAAAGAAAAGACAGATTCACAACCAGTTAATAGCTCACCATTTGACTTCCAGCACAGTGACACACTAGCTTCCTTGGGAAAGCCACGGGGGACACACAGACGGTACAGCACGGAGCTGTGTGCACACGGAGTATATCAAGCACAGGGCATAGAAGGCATCCCCTCCAGAAGCAAAAGCGCCACACAGAGCAGCCCCAGAGGGCTTCACTTGCAGAAACATGTCCGTCCACACAGGGCCTGATTCACACACTAGGATGTTCACCCTGCAGCCGTAGCCAGACAGCTTGAGAGTACTGTCCTCTCTTCCCCGCAAAAGCTGAGGGCCAGCTGAGGAAGGATCTGGGCTGTGGGGGTGGGGGTTTCAAGTACTGCTGCATTAAACTGATTTAAATTTCCACCAAGGAAGCAATTTGTAGAACTCAGACCCAAGTCACTGTCATTGTCCCCTCTCAGTCCCCTCTCTTTCTCCCCCCAGCGTGATCTATAGCAAAGAAGCTCTTCTCAAGTCCACTTTGGGGATAATTGTCATCCCACAGGTAGGTGGCAGTGAGTGCTCAAGTTGCAATGTTTCCTGGTGTGGCTGGTGCCCTGGAATCGCTGTGACACCTAGTGTGGGAGCCAGGCACACTGCACAGACACACACGGGGCTGGGTTATGAGGCTCCTAGCCAGCCAGCCCAGAGGCAAGCAGGGCGGGGTGCGCACAATGCGAGCAGAGGAGAGACCTGGCCGGTCCACCTCCACCTACCTGGACATGGAAGTGTCGCCTGACAGTGAGGATGGGTAGGGTTGCCTGAATCCACCCGTGATGGGATATACAGGCTGACCTTGCCTGAGGTCACAGAAGAGAGGAACCCATCAATGACAAAACATGAGTTACCAACTAGCAGTAAGAGTTTGGGGACAGGAGGGAGGGGCTATCAGAAGGCAGCAACCCCCAACATTTTTACAACGTGTGACTGCTTCCCTTCCTCACCCTCCCAGGGTTCACCCATCAAAACACCCATGTGCCTTAAACAAAACCCGCCCTCCCTCAGCTCAGAACACAAGCTAGCCCCATCAGTGATCCTTTTATCCTTTTCCCTCACCCTACACCTTTAATGCAAAATAGGACTTAAAAGTGCTTATTGAATATCATGCAGCCCATAGAATGGTAAACTACCCCTTGGGAGAAGCAGCTTAGCCAATTCTTCATCCAAGCCTTTGAGAATTTAGAAATAGAAAGGGCACCAACTGTTCTATTTACATAAAAATAACCGTTTCTGAGACCCTGTGCCTCCCCCCCCCATATACGCCTGGTAATGTGAAGAAATCAAAGATTCAAAGAATCAAAAGATTCACCACAGTTACCTTGCTCCTTCCTGAGAGGTCCCTCTTCCCTCCCTTCTCTCATGCCCCACTCTTTCCTGTACAGTCTTCATTTCTAGCTGCCAGTGATGGCACAGACATACTGCTCCCAAGTAGGTGAGTTCAGACAGAATAATTGAGCCAGGGCTCAAGTATACACATAATCAGTTAAACTCTCACGAGACTTAACGATAAAGAGAGAGGGAGTCGGGGGTGGGGGGCTCTGGCTTTGCTGGAGAATATGTCAGACTGTCTGGGTGTAGAGATGACACTATGATATGAGGGCTGCAGGGACAGCAGGTGGCATAGAGAACAGGGAGAGAGGTCTAGCCTTCCTGCAGCACCATTTGAAGGAGGAGGAACCAAGAAGGGAAGGAGGGAGAAGGCATGGAGCTAGAGGAGACAGCCTTGTGATAACAGCCACAAGGCAAAAATTCTACCTTCTCATCGTGTATTTCCTTTACTTTCATAAAAACAAACAAACAAGCAAACAGAAAAACTGAGTGAGCAGCAGCGGTAGGGATGTTTCTGGAAATCACCACCACAGAGTAAAATGTTAGCATGTGAAGTCTGAAGGAAACCAAACACCTAAATATGTTTCCTGCTCCCCTAAAATGAGCTTGGGTGCTTGCTTTTTGACATTTGAAAGATACTTGTGTTCTGTTGATCGCTCTTTAGTTCTGTGTTATTTGCCTCACTTGGCCACTTAGAAGCAAAAGTGAAAATCATGAGTATAAGTTCATGTTTCAAATATATGAGTTGTTAAAAAAAAATCTGGAAGAGAAAAAGCCCCACTGAGCCCCAGCTTCACATGGCATAGCAAATGCCCAAAGCCACAAATTGAATCCATAAAACTATAAGCTTCAAAGCAAACACTATGCAGTCATTTTCTACACATATTAGCAGACAGATTCAATCCATTTCAAAGTCTGTAGTTTTTTTTTTTAATCTTTCAAATTGAAATGAAATAAAGTTAGCACCTTGCTTGTTGCTGTCAAGTCTCCTCCATTCCACAAGTGCAACCATGCACAGAGCTAATTTCCATGAACGGTAAGTGTACAAACACTCCACTGAAGTTTGCAGGAATGTATATTGGTTCTTACCAGCCAAGGGGTGGGGTGATCTGTCCAACACCGCCTGGAGACAAGGGGTAAAAGGTGGGGATTTCAGGAGCTGGAGGGTGTCTTGACATGCCTGTGAAAAGGAACAGAAAAGCATGGTGTTTACATTCGCAAGACAACCAGGCAGAAGAGCAAGAGAAAAAGCAGCAAGATGTTTATATCACCAGTAACTTCGTGATAGAAGTCCATCAGATCTGGCGAATGGAAGTGAGCCTTCCTTAAGAGGAGACAGTCTTCAGATGGGCAGTTGTAGGCTAGGAAAGCCACTCAGGGATGTATATCCTGCCAGGAAAACAGCCATCCAAACAGTCTCTTCATGATCTATTCTGCCCTTGTTATTTCACTTGAAGAAAATGGTAGACAAGCGCTTTTTTTTTTGTGTAGAATGGAAAACGGCAGGCCTTCATAAGAAGATGGCCTGCCAAGGGGCTCAAAGATTAGGTAAATTGCCATCCCCATCGGCTCCCTTATGGACACATAGATTTGGGAAATGTGATACCTCGGAGGATCAAAGATTAATTAGGGATCATCTCCAGGCCTATGGTGGTCACACTTGATATGATTCATTTGTTCTCTGCTGCCATTTCAGCTCCCTCTAAGCTCCTCATCAACTCTAGTCCTCTGGGCTCCGAGGTCACACTGTTCCGAATTAGTTGTATTCTCCAGCAAAGGAGAACGCCACCAAACTGTTTCTCATGCTGGAGCTCTCCTGGGGGTCCAGGGTCCTGCAACTGTGAAGCCCACCTAATCCTAGTCCCAGATGGCAGCCCCTTTTAGACCTTACCTTGGGTACAGGGGGAAAACAAAACTGACAAGACAAACGCACAATGTGTAAAACATGAAATCTAAGGTTCTGGGAGAGGTGTTCTGGAAAGGTGCTAGGTAAGCTGCTACCTATAAAATGGCCACGACTTCAAACAAACAAAAAAACCATTTCCATATAAGGACAATGGTTCTCAACCTGTGGGTCATGACACCACGATTCGTCACAATAGCAAAATTACAGAGATGTAGTAGCAATGAAATAATTTTATGGCTGGGGGGGTCACCACAACATTAGGAACTGTTTTAAAGGGTCCCAGCATTAGGGAGGTTGAGAACCACTCATACAGGGTATAAGCACACACACCAAGGCTTCCCAGCCAGTGACTGGAAACACACTGGTTGATACATGGAAACAGTTGAGCACGTGGTAGAGGCTATTTAAATAGTATATGAGGCTTTGCTGCTTAACATGCCCATGGACTTCGTGTGGACCCTACGGTACCAAAGGACCTGCACGTGAGAGAGTGACCGATGTGCTAACCTGAATGCTGCTATTATTTGTGTATTTAGAATTAGGCACTTCTCAGTTCTTACACAAAGCAGCACAGAGGCAAATGCTCTTCATGTCGCACTCAGTAGGGCTCTTAGCTCGGGTCAAGAGACGTTTTGCTGTCTTCAAAATGACTTCAAATCTCCTGTAAATTTTTTTCAATTTCCTTCGATCCCACCCCAGTGGCTCCCCAAATTTGTCCCTGGCAACAATATGTTCGTTTCTGGGAAAGGGCAGGGGTAGGCTGAGGTTGATTCCTCAGGACCTTTGGCAAGTTTTTCAACTTGTTTCTTGCTCTCTAACTCTAAGATGACCAAATCCTCAAATCCTCCAATCTCAGGGTTTTCTGAGAGGGTCAAGTTAAAAAACTAGCAACCCCCTCGCCCACCAAAGACAGCCAGACCAACTTAGAACATTAGAAATGTGGATTTTAGTTCTCACAATTGAGAACAGTTTTCAAAAGCAGTTTCTATTTTCTGGATATTTCTGCCTATGGCTACTGTATAGACATAATGTTGCTGTTTTTCCCCCATTAGATAAAGCTGACTAGCCTACTGGGGACACTGACATCAGTGACTCAGGTCTCGGGCTGAGACACGCGATACACACTGAAGAAAATAAAACAGGAAAGCAACAGAATGGTTGTGTTCAGGTTGGGGTGGGCAATAAAAAGTATGCAAATGAAACAATATAAACTCAATATTACGTAAATGAGCACCTTCAAACCAGAGTTTACATATGCCCAGAGGTACGTGGTGATGAAGTACATGAAGCTCAGGACAGACATGTAATTAAAACCAAGATATTGGTATTAAAAACATCTAGGACTAATGGATGGAATAGACTATAATAACCACAATTTTTAAAAAGGACAACAAAGACTAGAGAAAGCAGAGAACTAACTGCTCACACCACTAGTCCCTTCTCTAAACATGCCTAGAGAAGTAATAAAATAAATTAGAGTTATGCAGAGCAAGGGACAGCAAAGGAAGAATCAAATGTATTAAGTAGGTTATAAACTATTGTTCAAAACTAACCTGTCCTAAAATTCCTCAGAGAAAAATGGCTCAGTAGTGATGCACTGTTCTTTTAAACAGTGGCTGTTTCAAAGTGCTCAAGCAGAACACAGAAAACACTTTTCATCATAAAATTAAACAAGTAAAATTAATAGAACACATTCGGTGTTTTGTTTGTTATGTTTTTGCTAGCTGAGAACTAGAAATCTCAAGTTTTTTTTCTCACTCATATTGTCAGAGTCTATAGATATGTATTCCAGCTTAGACCTGCTCGGAGACTATGACCAATACAAGAGAGTTTACATCATGTCACTCTGGAGACAGCCCAAAGATACTCCAGCTTAGCATGGAGAACAGCACACAGGCTTTGTTTCTCTGCTTTGTGTCATCTCCAGCACTAACAACAAACAGGAAAGGACAACAAAAACAAAAACCCCGGGATCTCACCAGTTAGGCAAATGCTCTGACACCAAGCTGCATGGCAGTCCCCAGGCCAGCATTCTTGTCTACACAAAGACACCTGGGCTCTCCTCAAGTCCAAGTCCAACAGGAAGTGATCAGGTAAGTGTTCTATTTAAACCCTCAAGGATCTGAGATCTCCAGTGACTGATTGCTAAGCGGCAGGTAGTGAAAAAGTACAAGTGGGCTCAGAATGCCCCTCTTTCCACACCGTTAATTGAGGCTGTCCTCTGCAGGTCAGAGGGCAAAATGCCAGCAGTGGCGTTCACTGGCCTCTGCGCCCTGGGCTTTCCAGAGCCTGCGGAATCCCAAGGTCGCAGGTGCAGGGCAAGACTGACAGGCTGTGCTGTGAGCTGTCACCCTCCAGCTGAGAGGACGAGGACGGGCCTCAGGGTGGGAGAACCCCAGTCCCTCCATTTACCACAGGCAAAGCCTAAGCATTTCCATTTTATTCAGACCTCACACAATGTGTTTTTCTGCAAATGAAGAACAAGCAGAGCTTGTTAATGCAGAGAAGCAAAACTCCAATGGTGTGGCTTTGACTCTAAGCAGAGATGGTTTTGTACTTTACTTATAATATCTAAATATATAAATATCTATTATACATACAATGGTTTTGTATTTAAGTATTTAAATATTTTTATTTGCAATATTTAAAATATAATATTTTATAATGGGACATAAAAGAGGACAGTAAATAAATCTCAAGAGGCTGAAGAGAATGACCCTTGAAGCAATAAATTCCTACTTCACTCCTTTTGTTTTTGTATATATGTGCGTGCGTGCGTGCGTGCGTGTGCGTGTGCGTGTGCGTGTGCGTGTATCACTGTCGATAGCAGCTGGACATGTAGTTCAGTGGTAGCATATTTGCCTAGTCTCTGCAAGGCCCCAGGTCTAATCCCCGGCACCGCAAAAATTAAGTTAATTAAAAAAATTAAAACCACCAACCTCTTACATGGCAGTCACCACCCCCACCCCCAAGCCAGGGTTTCTTTTTTCCATAGTTTTAGTTTGCCATGCTCCACTGAGCTCTAAAATATTAAATGAGAAATTCCAGAGAGAACAATTTTACACATTTGAAACTGAGATTTTTGGCTTCTTGCTCCCTAGACCCCATGTCCATGCCCCACACACTGCTCCCCATTATCCATTTGGTGGCTGCCTGGGAGTCATGATCTGCCATCCTAGCATCACAGTGTTCAGACAGCCTTCATGTCGTGTTAAAATGACCCACAACAGCTATGCTGGTAAAGGAGATCTGCCAAGGGGAGCCTATAAAGTTCCTCCTCTCAGTGGGAAGGGACTGTTCTGGACTAATGTGGAGGAGAGAGGAGAAAACATGCTTCCATTTCTAAGGTCTGGGATAAGAACCAATCAATATCCTACCTATGCAGGGGGAGAAATCTTTGCCAGCCACGCTGCTTCTCCTCAAACCACAAGAGCTATGTCCATAGTTTGTGATAAAGGCTCAGTGATGGAGAAAACTGATTCAGTTTGGGGCTCGCATTTATTCAGTGGGCATGGCAGGGTGGGGCTTGAAGAAATATCCCCCATGGAAACTTTAGAGAATGCAGGGCAGAGAGAATGGAGCCTTTTCTCTGTCCGCATGACCTCCTGGTTTGAATTGCAGCTCACAGGCTTTTTCGATCTGCCGCTTGGGACATGACAGTAGTGTGCTTTTCTTCTTTTATTGAGAGGGGAGGAGGTTGTTTATTTCTTGTTTTGTGAAAAATTAAAGCAAAAACGCGTTTCTGGAGGATTGCCAAAAAACCGTACGCATCTTTGGGTGCATCTGGACTCTAACAGGGCAAAGACGCCTGCCTATCTGGAATGGCACCAGGGCTGGCTGCCTGATGAGCAACAGAGGCCTGGGCAGGCCGGAGGCGCTTACCTTGCTTGGAGTTGACATCTGATGGGATGTGTGACGGGTGTGATCCTGGAGAAAAGTGCTCGTCACTGTAAGTGATGAGGGGGGTGAGAGGGTGGACGGCGTGGGATGGCTGCACCACCGGCACTTTATTGGACTGCAAAGTAACCACAGGGCCAATCGTTAATGTGGCCTCCAGACTCACGTCCCCTCCTGCCCCCACGACCTTCCAGCCTGCTCTACAGAAACACCTCAGAAACCAACCAACCAACAAATGAAAACAGACAAACAACATCAGGGCTGGGGAGACGGTTCTGTGGGTGACGCTGCCTGCTTGTGCGAGCACACCATCCTACAGTTCCTTCCTAAAACCTCTGGCATGGTGGAGCATGCCTGCAAACCCAGCACTGGAGGGGGATGAGACAACCGGCCCAGACAAAATGATGTCCATAAAGCCCACGTTCACTGAAAAGCTTTGTCTCAAAAGATGTTGGGGGGAGTGACGGAGGAAGACCCCAGAGGCTGAGGCTGACACAGTGTGTGCCTGTGGAGGCCAGAACACCTGCACAGACACACACAAAACCAAACAAAACCACACTTCAGCTCCATGCTGGCCAACAGCTATTGAAATACCAAGACAGGACTTCATAAAGTTAGCCTGGCTGGGCTTGAACTCATGATTGTCTTCTTGACTCAAGTTTCCCAGGTAGCCTGCACCACCAGGTCCAAGGTACAAATACATTTTATTGAATTTGGAAGCCCAAAACTTTGTAACAGTACATTAAAAAAAATTCAGATTATCTATTTGTGTGTCATTTATTTTGACCACCGAGCAAATCTGTGATCATTTTGATTGTGGCGAAGTTACAAGTCCTCCCTCCACCCAAGCCAGGTGTGGTGGCATGTGTCTTTTGTCCCAGCCTTTGAGAGGCAGAAGCAGGTCTGTTAGTTCAAATCAGTCTGGTCTGTGTACTAACTTCCAGGACAGTTGGGGTTACATAGTAAGATGCATCTCAAGAATAAAATAAAGAATAAAGTTCTCCTTGTTCAAGAAAGTGCTTGCCAAATAAATCAGTAGGGTAATGAAGACTTGAGACAGGGTCAGGATTTGGATGACCATCTTAAAAGAAACTCTAGTTACTGACAATATAGTGTGTCTGTGTGTATTTGTTTATATAGAAAGGAAGAACAGACAGAGGATGAGAGGGAAAGAGAAACAGACTGACTGCGTGGACCAGGATGGCTTAGATCTCTTGCACCAGTCCAACCTTAGTGGTATGTGCCACCATGCCCCGTCCCTAGGACACTGTCTCCCTGACAACCTGGTAAGTGAAATGTAACCTTCATAAAGTAATTCATTCGTTAATTAACTGGATTTAACCATTCCACTTCAAACCGTGTTACGTATGGTAAGTACATACAATTCTATCCACAAATAAAAACAACAACAATTAAAATAGAAAGAAATTTCCCCGTTACTGCCAAAGAAAGGAAACGTAACGCGATTACACAGATGTAGAAGGTGGTTCTGATTTTAAATATCTACTAATTAAAGCAGCCTCAGGAAGATGCCTGAGTAGAAACTGTACAGTAATGAGCGACTCAAATATAAGAGGAACCGGGTGTAATGAACTCACTAGTTCAGGCATGCCTTCACTGTAATTAGTTTGAATTAGTGACATTTTCCTGTACTGTGCCAGGCTAAGATTAATGTGAAATGAGTTTCTCAAGAAGCAAATATTCATATTAAAAAGAAATCAAGGAAGTGGCTTGATGTGTGTCCCTATGTGAACTGTCCAAATGGATGGCCGTGTCCCCATGGCTAAGGGACTCCACACCACACCTTTGTATGGGGGCTGTACCTGTGGTGGACACTCACTTTGACTTTATGCTTTTTACTGCTTATGCTCCAGAAGGATGTGGTTCAGTGTGAGTGTTACCCTCGGGAAAATCAAGAGCAATCATCCCGGCGATCCTTAATGCTCTTTACGCCTGTCAATCACCACCCAAAAGAAACACATGTGGCAAAACAACAACGACAAAAACACAGTGAAGGAAGGTAGAAAGTCAAAGTCACACTTTTTTTTTTGGACTGCATGAGGATTTCTATAGCGCTTACTGTAACAACCTTAAAAAAGTATCTTTGTAGATTGTTGGGCAATTATGCCTCTGCTTGGTAATTACCAGGTCCTCTCTCAGGGCAACCCTTGCATGGCTCATATAGCCCTTGGCCTTTATGAAATAGAGCACCATTATCAAAGCCACCCAAATTTTCTCTACATATATTAACACAAACATCTATGCATATAAATGTGCAAAAGGCTTAAAAAGACTTTAATGATGCTATTTACGAAATATGTAACAAGAGACTCTCAAGTGCAAGGAATTCAGAACGCTGCAGAGGGTGGGCAACATGGGGACGAAATCATAAACCATCCTTTAAAAGTAGAATAACAGGAAGCTCTCACTTCCCAAATTTGAAAATGAACGCACTTCAACTCTTGTTTACAATAACTGCTCTGCCCCCTGAATAGAAAGCCCCTCAAAAGCAGCGTAATTGCCAAGTAATCAACAGAGGTACTTTCTTAGGGTTCTTATCGTCAGCACTGCAGAGATCTTCTGGAAGGATCTCTGTATTTTGCATTCCTTCTTTTTTTTCCAGAGCAGAACCCTAAGGAACTCAAGTTGGCAGGCAGCGTCTCTTAATGTCTGACCTGTCCCTCCAGCCATACAGCTCGGAATCTGGTGCCATGAATTTTTGCTAAATTATGCTATCCTTGCTCTCCTCTTAATTTTACGGTTTTCAACACAGATTTGCTTTCCTGTGGGGAGGAGATAAGAAGGCTGGGGATTTTAGTTTAAGCCCTGGCCTTGTCTTATATTTTGCAAGATGGAGAGCGCAAGCGGCACTAGCAGGTGTGTCAACGCCAGCGCGGATTACGTCCATTTTTGTGGCCAAAAATAAAAGTCACATGAAGTCACATGAAGCTCACATGTGTGAGCAGAATCCTAAGGGGTTCGCCTCCTGCAGACCATCTCCACGACATGTATAAATGAAGCAACGTGGACTCAGGCTACACAGGGACTGTCTGCCTCCGTGGCCTTGTGACCTGCTGTCCTCAGTCCTAAATTTGTGACACACCATGCACAAACACAGCCAGAACCTGGGCTCTGCCACTTTTGTTAAATTCTAAGACAGAAAACAAACATTGCCATTCTGAATTCTGCCCTTCTCATCACCGAATAGCATGGTATATTTTCTGGTGAAGAGCAGGCGAGGAGAAAAATACCAAACTCACTGCCCAGACTTCCACTGGGGCATTATATGCCATGACACATGGACGTGGGTGCAGGTGTGTCCATTTATTAAGTGCCTGGAAATTTCCCAAGCACCATTCTAGCACTGATAACACAGATGCAGTCTCTATTAGCTCCTAGGGGCCTGGAGGTGGGGACAGCCAGCATTGTGGGAAATGTGTATTGCTGTGCTGGAGAGAGACAACAGGCTTAAAAAGGTGGGAAGCCAAAAGAGAGGCCGCCAGTGGGTGGGCAGTGAAGCCAGGGCCTCTGGCAACACTGTGAGTGCACAGCTTATCCATCAGTGAGTTCCAGCAAGCACAGCAGCAATAGGGCCGGGGCTGCCCCATACACTGGTTCCAAGCTACAGGGAAATCAAGGGCTCCTTTGTCACTCGGGGGTTGAGCACTGTGCGCCCAGCACTTTACTTCAGGTAACCCAGCTTTCTCTGCTATGACAGAAGGAGAAGAGAGGGTGACATTTGTTCCTCTTCATCCACAGGCACAGGCAGGTAAATCTTACTTTTCAGTAAAGAATCAGAAGATATTCCCTCTATGTGTTCCTCATTTCTTTATCCCCGATGGCTGGGATACATAATCACTCCATCTTTCTGAGACACACCGGAAGTTCTACATCACCCCAATTTATCATCAAACCTACCAAAGAGGTTTAGTAACCTCTTTAAGTCCACAGAGCAGCAAGTAGCAGAGTGCGACCAAAAACTGACTCTAAGAGCATGTGGTGGCGAGCAGAGGAAAAGTAATCAAGACAGGACAGCAGGTACTGAAAAAGGGCAGAGCCGGGCGGTGGTGGTGCATGCCTTTAATTCCCATACTTGGGGATCAGAGGCAGGCAGATCTCTGAGTTCGAGGCCAGCCTGGTTTACAGAGCGAGTTGCAGGACAGCCAGGGATACACAGAGAAAACCCTGTCTCGATAAACAAAAACAAACAAACAAACACAGGGCAGAAAATGTAGAGGACAGGGGCTCAAGAGAACTATCCTGCTTGTGCTCAGCATTCAGGACACAAATGTTTAGGAAAATGATCCAAGCTCAACTGGCTCACCACTGGACCATTCCATCATGTTGAGCCTAACTGTCATGGCAACTAACGCCAATAAAGTGCTTAATGCTCACTGGCGCTTTGCCACAGGCCCCTCTGAGGCAGGTACCATTATTAGGCTCCTATAGGTGAAACATCTGCATGGGGGGTGCACAGTAACCTTCCCAAAGGCGCGCAGCTGGTGTGGCAGAGCACACACAGTCTAGCTCTGGAAGCCAAGTTCGTTTCCAGCATATTGTGTGGCCGTGGGACTCTGACCGTCCTGGTCATAACTGACGGCAGCATGTGACATCTATGTGATGGCTCTGCGGTATCTGTCTGAGGCACAGGAATTACCTCAGACAAAGAGGCATCTCAGCAGAGGTGGTCAGAGCAGCAGACGCTGCTGACACTCAACAGCCACATTTCTCCCCACATCTGGAAAACATCCCAAGGCTGGTTGGCTGGCTGGCTGCCGCCCAGGCTGGACCCTGCAGGTAGGAGCCGCTTTGGCATCACAGCCAATAAAACCCACACCTCCTGTGGATATGAAGTGGGTGCCACTTAGGGAGCTGAGAGCCGTCGCCAAAGCCAGGTTCCCAGAAATGACCCATTCACCACTGGCTGGCACTGGGGTGTCCTGAAAGTCGTCATTGAACGTAGTCTGGGAAGGACTGGCCGTAGTTCACCTCCCTCTCAGCTGAGGCCCTGGGCCTGCCGGGAAGTGGGAGAACTGGTGAGGCTGGCTGGCCTGGTAGTCCGTCTCCAGATTTCAGGCAAACCCACAGCTGGGGATCTTACCTGGGCACAAAACTGGT